TATACCTAACAATATTGCACACCATATAAAAATATAAAAATATTATTTTCAATAATTTAAAATGACCAAAATACCCCCATCATTTTTCAGGGGTATTTCGGTCATTTTATATTCTGAGAAATAATTTTTATATATATTTTTATCTGTGCGCCCTATTTTTTAGTACCCATGTCGAAAATTTCATTATGATCCGATTTATAAAAAAAATAATTAAAATTAAAACAGTGATATGCATTAGGAACCGTATGATGAAGATCTGACGGTTTCCATTCCACCTATTCATTATAGCTGGCCAGCTATTGTTAGTTTTTTTCATATAAATATAAAAATATTTTTAACTATAGGAAATAAATAATGGGGATTATTGACCATTTTATAGGAACTTTTAGCTATTTTGAAATTGTGGAAAATGTAGCATAATCGTGTGAAAAGGTCGAAACAGGTATTTTCTATTTCTTATAGAAATTTGAGGTAGAAAGGTGTATTTCCTATTTCTTACAAAAAATTTGGAAAATTTGCATAAATATCCTTATAGTTTATAGAATTTGAAATTTTGTTCTCAATATTTAAAATTTTATGTTTATGTCACACCTTTTTAGAGCATGTATCGTCTTTTAATTTTAATATTTTTATATGCATGGAATTGAGTTCAAGTTTTGTATGTTCATACTTCTCACTATTATGCATATGTAAAAAATCTGATAATTTTAAAAATAAAATCACTAAAATAACCAAAATATCAACACACACATATGCATATATATTGGAAATTTTTATTTAATTATTTTATATTAATTTTAGAGATGAATGATATTGAGAAATATGTACACACAAAAAATTTAAGATGTAGAAAAAATAAAATTAAAATAATGAACACATTTTTAAAAGATGACTTGAACGTAGAGTGCAAACTATTGATTATTCTTTAAAATTTTGAGAAATATAGGGTATATTTATGTAAATTTTCCTAAAAAAAATGAATTTTTTGTATATGGATGGAGAGGGATTTTATACACAAAAGAAGGAAAATTTTTATATGAGATGTCACCCTTATATTATACAAATAAGGTGCACCTCAAACATTCATGAAAAAGGTTGTTTTTACGCTTCAAAGACCCTCGAAATATATTGATATAATTAAAAAAAATTAAACAATAAAATAGTACGTCTTGTAGTTTACTATTTATCACGTCTATCTTCAAGACTTTTTAAGAGTTTATAGATCTACTCGATCCCCACAATTTTTAAAATTTTAAATTTTATAATAAAAAATGAAAATAGATTTCATATGACCTTTTAGTACGGGAAGCGCATCTTTTGGCACTATTTAGAGGAAGGGAAGGCATGAGCTTAATTGTTTAAGATCAACACCTTATATAAGTCCGAAATATATACAATATGAACATCAATTTTGGTAAAATAAGATCACAAATACTATTAAACGTTAGATATAAAATTGGGTGATTTGAGTATCAAAATAAAATTTCATAAATATTGTGAAACACTTCGATCCCTTGAATATCACATCCGATGGCTAAAAAAGATTATGATCTCCTTGTACCAAAACTAATATAAACCACACCGCTGTCCCTATTTCACAGTATTTGAGGCTTGCTTCAATGTTGGCATTTTATTACTCAGAAATGCATCTCTTCGACTCTAAAATCTCTAATCTAATAAAATGTTTCTATTGATTTTAATCTTTACAGTGAACCTCAATTTAACGCGATACAAATTTTGATTTCTCAGAGTCTTGATCGATTAGTTTCAAATAAATCCCCAATCTAATGCAATGCGAATCCTGATTTCGCAGAGACTCTCGTGCTTTTCTGCTGGTTTCACATCTCCAATTTCTTCTGCTCCCAATTCACTATTTTCTAGACCCAATTCTTCCACTAAAAGCTGGAGGAGCTCAAGACCAGAGAAACCATTTCTGTGGTCGTCTTCTTCTGCTTCTTTTGAGCCTAGTTTGACTGCATATGGAGGATGGGATGATCTTGATTGCCATGGTGCTTCCTCTTGTTTCGGTAAGTTTGGTGAACCCCTCAATTTTGGAAATTTATTGGAAACCGAGGAAATAAAGCATGTTATTCTCTTTTTTATAGGGTTTCTTTCTGGTCTAGTAGTTTCTAGGTTTAAATCGTCATTATGGGGGGTCATCCCTGCTTCTGTGTTCCTTTCCCTTGGAGGTTTTTGGATGGGGGTTCAGTGGAATGACAGTGCGAATTCGCTGAAAAAGATGGAGAGTGGAGGCAGACGTAGTGTTAGTGTTCCATTTGAAACGATTAGGGTTTTGGGGGATTTGATTAAGAGTATGGATGATAGGTTCTCTGGTCTCAAATTTGAATGCAAGGAACAGATAAGGATTATGATGGTGTGGGTGAGATTAGGGCTTTCTTGGATTCACTTAGTTCTTTACAGATATCAATGTTAGGCTCTAGAGACCAATGTCAATCGCCCTCTGGTTATGATTCTGATAATTTTACTGATGATGGAAACAAAGAAGGGAAGAGTGGGCAAAAGGAAGTTCGGAGAAAGAAACAGTTGCCATTGTTAGGAATTAATTTCTTTCAAAAGTTCAAAGGAATGTTTCATGAAGGATTGGTTCCAAAAGAAGTTCAGCCTAGATATTCAAGGAAAAATGGCGGGTCTTCATTGAAGTTTGGGGTTATTCGAAATGATAATGTGTTAGAATTGCAGAAACAACAGGTTGAAAATGGTTCCCCGGAAAGGGAAGCAAGGGATTATAAATTGTTTTCATCACATCAAATGAACAGCAATAAGGATGACTCCCAAAGAAATATTGATACTAAATATGTGAATATGCCAAAAAATGGGGATCCAGAGAAGGTTTTTAGTGTAACAAAAGATGGAGAAGGGCTCAACAATCTTCATGATGAAAATTTTGTGAATTTGCCAACCAATGGGTTCTTTAAGAATGTTGATTCATCTCGAACCCATCTTTGTAAAGAAGAGGTTTCTAATGGAAACCAAAGCTATCTCTATGATAATGGAAGTTCACTAGAAGAACTTAAACATAGTGAGAATGCTTCCCCCAAAATGAGCAAGCATATGGGGGATGGTGAAATACACGGACTTGGCAAAAGAGAAAGGGCCTTGGAATCAGAAGATCGGTCTGTTCTCGATAACCTATTAGATTCAGAGGATGAAACATTTGAGAGATATGTGAACGAGGCGAGTAATTTGGTACAAGAAGCTAAAAAGTGTATAAAGGTTCGAGAAAACGAAGAATTGGTTGAGCGCCTCCTGTACAAGTCTTCAAGTTTGCTATCTAGAGCCACTGCCATGAGACCTGCAAGCTTGATGGCAGTTGGGCAGTGGGGAAACTCTTTGCTTCTTCATGGGGAGCTAAAATTACGAATTAGTCGGGAACTGAGGTCTCTTTTGTCGAGAAGCGATACCTTTCTCAATGAACAGGAGCTTAGACCTCGAGCTCGGGGATTGAATGAGAAAGGATTGAAGAGAGATAAAGTAGTTTCTGTCCTGGTTGATGTGTGTGAGGAGTGTGAAGAGCTTCTCTTAGAGGCTGGGAGAAAGTATAGGATCGCCTTATCGATCGATAAGGATGATATGAGGGCTTTGTACAATTGGGGCCTTGCTCTCTCTTTCCGAGCCCAGTTAATTGCAGATATCGGACCGGTAATCTTTGATTAAAGAGATGTTTTCGCTGTTGGAGGATCATTTTACCATTTGCTTGAAAACTTTACTTCGGGATTTACACCATAAAACTGTAGATGGTACAAGAAGGTCACTTTCACTAACAAGTTGTGAAATCTTGTGGCTGGGAGTGTGTTTATTCTATGCAGAGAGTCCAAGACAAATTTTCTCGGACTTTGAGTGCAGTCAATGAACACCTTCTGCTGCAGGATTTCAGATCTTATGGATAAAGGATATTGTGACCTTCTTGTACCAAATGTAAATGATACTATTATATACTTTCGTTATTACTTTTAAATACTCTTTCAATGCATTTATTAAGCTTTGTGTTCTCTTCGCCCTTTATGCCGATAAATATTGCTCTAGTTTTGTATCAAATTCAAGTAAACCTACTGGAGTCTGGACTGACTTTCAACATGCACACATACATGCCAATGAGCATGCTAAATGTCTCTCTTTTGACCTCATATTAACGTATGTTTGCGAGCTAGAATGTTGCTTCTGTGTAAATCGATGCATGTATCCAAGTAGGGCTGCATACATCTATGTATGTTTGTATGTATGTATGAGCAACATTTGAACATTCAACGACATTTGATAGTGCAAGGTGCATGTTTCAGTATGGTGATTGAATACACAATAGGATCCTACATTATAGGGACATGGATATGAATATCGGCATTTTACTCGGATTTGCAGAATCTTGCTCATCTACCTATATTTTGCCAAGTCAAACACACACACACACACAAAAAAAAAAAAAATGGTGTGGTTTGTATAAGGTGATACAATCAAAGTAAGGTGCACCTCTAAATCTTGCTAAAAGATGTAATTTTGGTGCCAGAAAACCTTAAGATAGCTTGAAAATCTACTTTTATCCCTAATTATGAAATTTAAAGCTCCAAAATTGGGGTGCATCGAGTAGATCTATAAACACTTAATTTTGAAAATGGATGGTCTAAATTATGTTTACAAGATACTTGAATCCTTTTCTTCATATCCATACGTCTTGAGGTCTAGATGATCAAGATCACTTTCTTCGATGTTGGAACAACCTTAATTTGTGACTTCTTAATAATAGATGATTGATGCCAAAACATAGAAATAGGTGGCTTTAACTCAAACATACACATGTTCAAATTATAAGACATGCACCCATGCACGTATTACAAAACTATTAGTTGTCAAATGCAGCTGCATAATGCATTATGCGGCCGCATCAAAGATGCATATGCCCTTGGGTGCATTGCATCCACTCATATGCAAGATATCATGATCCACCCACATATGTGGCACATCAACCGCATATGTGGGCACATCACCCAAAATGATGCCCCTGCATATGCGGGTCACTGCATCAGGGCAGAAAAATACCAATGAGCTGGGGCATTATAGTCTTTTTCCTCCCCTGAGAAGGGGGCGAAAGAGATTTCCCATTTATCATGGTTCTAAGGGGATTAAGATCTAGAAACTACAAAACAGCCTTTTTTATTGCATCCAAAGCTTTTGATAATATCTATGGATTATTTGGGCAAAAGTTCGAGTTTATTTTGTGCATTGTTTGAAGGATATGGGATGAAGATTTACTCAAGTAATGAAAGGCTTCAAGGCGCAATATTGAAATTTATTTTGATTTTGGTTATATCAAATCAAACCTAAGTATAGTGCATATTTTAATGAATGGGATGGATTCATTTATTTTATATGTCAATTGTATTACGTAATCTGAGAAAAGAGACCAGAAACTTTGTTAGTCTTTTATCAGGCTATTAGACTATCGACAATAGATATATTAGAGACAGTTACTAAATTAAAGTACCCATTGTCACATAAATCACATATTGATGTTATTATTTGTATTATTACATTTATCATAAATTTTTATTTTTATTTAAAAATTATTGACCTCATTGGAAGTGATGACACCATTGAGCTGCATAGTGCGTTGAGTCCCATTCTGCATTTGATAACCTTGCAAAACAGGCACAAGTGTTACAAAAAAATATGCATGTCAAGTTTGTCCAATCTGCAAACTCTCGTGTCCGTATATCAGACATGTCATGTCTGCAAATAAAAAGAACTAAAATTTTGACACCCTTCTCTTTTCTGTGTGCTTGTCGACACACTTGTCTAGTATGTTGGCATGTCGGACTCTCCTAACCTCATACAGCATGTGCATTTTTTTACATGGATATGAACTATTTTTCGGAGCTATCATTTGGATATTGTCTGCATTCCCGTGAAACTCGTCTTTCAATTATAGAAAGTCCTATGAAGAAGGCAAACAGACAAAGTTTTAATGTGGCAATTCAGGCCTTGATAAATCAGAGCAAGTGCGTAGGCATTGTAAAGGGTGTCTCCTATATGTGTATTTTATGTTTTTTAGGAGTTTATTATTTGGATATGATATATCTTTTGCCTTCTTTATCTCTCTCACAATTGAACATTATGATTCTTTGTTTCAGGAAGCAGCTCATGAAGCAGACAAGGTATACCTTGCGGCAATAGATAAATTCAATGCCATGATGGCAAAAAGTAATTCTTATGCACCAGAGGGTGAGCATGAATTATGTGATCTTTTTGATGACCATGTTTCTTTTTGTGTGATTCAATTTATGTAACATGGACATACATGTCTGTGGTTTGTACTACCCATTGATGCACCAGAACATGATACCCTTGTATGACAGTCTAGAATCTTTGACACTTCTTGTTAACCTATTTGAAATCTCAATATATAAGTACTTTGATGTCAGTTAAATTTCTATTTTTACCGTACCTAAATGATTTAAGAGCCATTTGAAAAGCTAAATTTGGCGTTGACGTTTATGATACGTGTATCCATGCCTTCATAACACAAGGTTATGATACTTGATATTGATATTTATGCAGCTTTGTTCAGATGGGGTATGGCCTTGCAGCAACGATCTCATCTGAGACCTCGTCGCAGTGGAGAGAGGATTAAGCTATTGCAACAGGCAAGGAGGCTTTTTGAAGATGCATTAAGTCTTGACTCGAATCATGTTCAGGTCAAGGAAGCATTGTCTTACTGTATAAATGAGCTCGAGCAGAGAGAGAAAGAGGGGGGGGGGGTGCAGGTATAGCTGAGCACAATTTGAGGAAAAGAGGAATGGAGGTATAGATAGTGCTCAAATAGAGACAGGAAAGGGGGGGGGGGGGGGTGGAGCGTAAAGGCAGTGAGACTATCCTGTATAATTACTTTGGGTGTTCTCAATTAGTTGAGAAAAGGTTTTGACGATCATGATTATTCGCAAGAGAGAAAGAAAGGGTTGAAGTGGGAGGGACAGGGGTTCATGTTCCAATCAAGGAAGCTGCAACCTTCCTGTATAATTGAGATAAAAAAGTGATGGGAAAGGTGTGGGTTTTATTAGATAATCAATGTAATTGCAATAAATACCTCAATAATGAATGATTAAGGAAAAAGGCCATAAAGGAGAATTTCCCAATTCATTAGTCTCTTGGTTCATAATTCCTCTGAATAAAGTTTAGGGTGCGACATTGGTATCTCTCTTGCTGTATGCTTGCTGCCTTATATGCAGTTCAGGTTGTTAATGTCTTTTCGAGGCCTTTGTACTCCCTTCCCTCCCTCTCTCTCACTTAACTCTCACTCAGTGTTGGCAGATTTGCTTTGGAACTTTTTTTTGGTTTGGTTGGAAAAAAGAAACAAGTCGGTGCTTTGGCTGATTTGGATTAAGATTTTTTTAATAAATTTTTTAATATAAATAAAATATATATTTATATTTTAAATATATTAAAATATTAAAAATTTTAAAATAAAAAATAGCAAAAAGACAATTATGCATTTTTCCCGAAGCAGGCCAAAGTTGCTTTAGTCTAAGTCGAAAATTTGAAGACTTCCACCGAGTCTTCACCTCTTCGGCCGAAACAAAAAGGTCAAAAATTTGAAGACTTCGAAGTGAATGTGATAATATTGCTCTTTCTCTCTCTATTGACATTTATTTAAAGTCATTGTTCATTACTTCTTGGCCAAACGAAATGTACAAGAATCGTAATGGGCCAGGCAGCCCTGAAGCCATGCTTGCACATCGGCCTTGCCTAAATAGCTCGAGCTTGAACTAGTAAATTTGGCCAGTGGGCTGGGCCGAGCCTGAAACCTAGTCCCAGTGTCCAGGCCAGGCTTGTGCCAAGGGTGATGGTGTTAAGTATTTTTTGGGTTTAAAAATTACTCAGTTGTATATCAAAATAAGAGAGAGAGTTGTGGCCTTGTAAGTTTGTCTCACGATTAATATTTGGTTTCCCTTAGGCCTAGGCATTATAAGAACAAAATGATACCTCACCTGATTTTTCATCCGGAAAGGGCTTTAGGCATTAAAAATCCCCATCATAGCTTTAAAATCAATTTTCAATATTGACTATGAAATTTAAAGCTCAAAAAATGGTATAGATTTTGTAGGTCTCTTAAAACTTATTTTTTGGCAAAATAAACGATCTAGATAATTTGTTACAAATACACATTATTTTTAGGACTTAATCCTTTTTTATAACTATAATGGTTAAGGCCGAGCTGAATGATTCTGAAAGTTTTCTGATGCCAACATCTTGGGTGAGTTTTGAGATGAGACTTTACTCATTTTAATAGAAATGCAGCCCCACCAAAACATTTTCCTTCGATCACACTTTGACTTTGCCTTTGCCACCGTTGATCTTGGAAGTGAAAAGCTGGAAAATTCCCTCCTCTCGTCCAATCTCTCTCATTCTTTCTCTTTCCTTGTCTCATTGCCACTCACTCTCTAGAAATCACTCTCACATTTTTTTACCCTATCCATCTGCAGTCATTGAAGGGATGCCAATGGACCCATGCTCAATCCGGGACCCAAGGATCAAAAAAATTGAACTTATTGGGTCAGGGTTATTATATAAATAATATTATATAATATTTAAATAGATATAACTACATATTTACTTAGAAAAAAGTTTATATAAGATTGCAATCTTAAAATATAGAATTAAAAATATACATAATAGTAATAATAAAAAAATAAATAAAAAAATGTTGTTTTAATATTGAAAAACCCTCAAATCAATCATCTCGAAATTGAGATGTATGAATATATAAAAAATGATACATCTTGCAACACATTATCTAGACCGTCCATTTTCAATATTTTCATATGTTTTTAGATTAACTTGATTATAACTTTTTATTTGGAGCTTAAAATTTTATAATTGGATATGAAAATAGATTTTCAAAAAAAAAAAAGGTTTATATAGAGGTGAAGCTTTAAACAATCAAATTAGAGCGCACCTTAAAATTTTCACTAAAAGAGGTTGTTTTGATGCCCAAATATCCTCAAATTAATCAACTCAACATCTGAATGCATGGACATGTGAAAAAAAAAGGATTTCAAGTTTTGGGAATAGTGCATCTTGTAATGCATTTTGACCGTCAATTTTCAAGATTTTAAGGTTTTTACTGATCGGCTTGATCTACACTATTTTTAAGACTATCACAACGATTTTCAATATTAAAACCATATTTTTTTATACTATTTGAAGGTGCACTCTACTTTGATTATTTAGAGCCTTGGCTCTATACAAATAGTATTGAGAAATGTGATTTCAACACTGGAAATCTTTGTGATAGCTTTAAAATATAATTTTTATATTTAATTATAAAATTTAAATGTTCAAAATTAGTGTAGATCTAACATAGCTATAAAACTTGAAAATCTTAAAAATTGATAGTTAAAAAATGTGCAACAAGATGCACTATTTTTAAAACTTGAAATTCATATTTTTCTCTTGTCCATATATCTGGATGTCAAGATGATCAATTTGAGGATATTTGGGTAAAACAACCTCTCTTAGTGAATTTTTTAAGTGGGACTTTAATTTTATTTTTTGAAATTTTAGCTTTATATAAAATTTTTTTTTTGAAGTATATATTATTATTATTATTTTTGGGTACATGGGTTCGGTCAGGTCCGGATATCGTTTGTCGGTTTGGTGCCCATAATGGTCTGCGTCCGGACCCGACACGTTGCCCATAAGGATTTACTGATCACTCTCGCATTCTCTATATCTCACGGGTGTACTTTGTATAAAGCCTAGGCTCCAAACAATCAAATTAGAGCCTACCTTCAAATAGTATGAAAAAATGTGGTTTCAATACTATAAATCTTTGTGATAAATTTGAATTATATTTATAAAATATATTGAATGTATTGTAATAAAGTTTAAAGAACGACACATCCAACAAAACTTAAAAATCTTAAAAATTGACGGTCTAAAAATGCTTTACAAATTAGATTACTTTCAAAACTCAAAATTCATTTTTTTTTTCTCATTTCCACACATTTTGATGTCGATTTGATCAATTTGAAGATAAATAGGCATCAAAACGACGTTAGTGAAATTTTTGTGGTAGGGTGTAATTTGATTATTTAGAGCCTCGGCTCTATGTAAACTTTTCTCATATCTCTCTGGCAATTTGTCTCACTCATTAGTTCTCTGTATCAAAATTGCACTCCACTGGAAGTCTCTCTATCTGACAGCGTGTTTTTCTCTCTTAATGGCAGCGTGATCTTCCATCAAATTTGGTGTCCCCTTCTCTCTCTAGAACCTGTCTTTCTCTCTCCAAATGCGTGTGCATAATTGGCAGTTAGCCATGGAGAGGGGAGAAATCTGGTTTTTCCAGCAGGTATCACGGGCGCACCACTCTCTCTTCATAATGGTCTGCCCCTTTTACCTGCAATCCGTTTCTCCTTCACTCTTCATCAAACAAAACCCCCCATAAGTGGACAGTTCTCTCTGCACTTCACTGTTGGCCCTTGAACCCTCCAAGCTTTCAGCCATGCTTTACTCTTCTTGAGTTCAAATATCTCATTTTCTGGGGTTAGAAAAATGCGCCGTGCCGCACTGGCAGCTTCGGCTGTGGCTTTTGCTGTGGAATTAGGGTTTCAGGGTGATTGGGCCTTCTCATCAAAGGGGGGAAACCATACTTTGGAGAGGGTGAGAGAGAAGATTGAGGGGTCAAAGGGCCTGGTTCCTTGTAGGAAAGAGCAGGTGGCTTCTCTCTCTGATGGTGTGGTGTTTGATGTATTAGTGGTTGGGGGTGGTGCAACTGGGTCTGGTGTGGCTCTTGATGCAGCGACTCGAGGGCTCAGGGTTGGGCTTGTAGAGAGAGAAGATTTTTCTTCTGGGACTTCCTCTAGGTCCACCAAGCTTCTCCATGGAGGTAGGAATTGGTTGTTTGAAAGAGAGAGAGAGTTAGGTATTGCTGTTTTTGTAGTTTGGTTTGATGTTTGTGTGTGTGTGTGTGTGTGTGTGTGTGTGTGTGTGTGAGAGAGAGAGAGAGAGAGAGAGAGAGAGAGAGAGAGAGAGAGAGAGAGAGAGAGAGAGAGAG